GCAGAAGGCTTGTCGCTCGGGCCAACCGTTCAGCCATCTTCCTTGCGTTTCTGACCGTTCTTGGTGGCAGCTATCGCACGCGACCACTGGTTTTTCCCTTCTCTCAGCATATTTTTTAAGTGTGACCCCTGTCGGTGTTGTTGCTGATCGGAGCTAATCATTTTTCTCGCTGACATTTTTTCACTCGATGAGAAACACGGCTTCCCATTCACAATGTACGTGTTTTCATCGTATGTTTTCGCTCAAGTGCAAACATCTAAATGTCCCGCTCTCCTTTTTACGCAGATACCCTTTTTGGGCCCGTGAGAAAATAAAAAAAAAACGCTCGTTTGAGCTTTATCCTAGAATAAAAGCAAAGATGTCTTTCTTATTGTTGGCCCACTTGTGACTTTCTAGGATAGCTTATAGCTTCAGAGCAGTTTTCTTCACAACAACTTCGAACCCTGGGACTTTAGACGAGTGCTTGAATGTAGCCGTCCAAGATTAGTCAACTTTATTAGGCAAACGTTTCGGCTTCTTCGCCTTCGTCAGAGCCTTGATCAACGCCGCCGTGACGCGAGGGCGACCACCCTCAAAGGGCTTAGCTTGTGCCTTGCACGTTTTTACTTTTATTTTTTTGGCTTCTTTACTGTCCATTTTCCTGAACCTTGTATATCTGGATGATGATTACGTAGAAGACTAGGTTTCGGCGCACTGCATGAATAGTTTGTGAAAGTAGCGGTACAGCATCAACAGCATCCGAGACGGCTCCATGTGAAAAGCGGCTGCATGGCGAATCCCAGTAGGTGTGGCCATCGCTTGAATGGGTGAAATTTCGAATCCTACTAACCATTCATGCACACTGTTGAGTCCCGCATCCCGCATCCGCATGCCTATACGACCCGTCAAAAATAATTTTTGTGCCCTTCTCTACAACGCGATGGAGTGTGTTTTGCTTCTATTCATTCACCGCTTTGTTCTCGCCAAGCTATCCAAATTTTGATTCACAGTGAATGAAGCAATCCCATTTGATATGCATGACTGAAAATTTTGTTCAGCACTTGATTGGTTTTGTTATGCTGGTTTTCGCTGCAGTTTATATGTCAATTTACAATGAAAGCTATGTCACGAGGTTGCTGTGATGTGGACAGAAGACTTACCATTAGCCATCATAGCATGTTCCACCTTGAGGCGAAGTATTTTGGCCAAAAATTAAGCAGCTTAGGAAGGATTTTGTATTGTGACGGAATTCCTTGCATAAAATTTCGACTTCTCACCGAACGGCTATAAAATTGTAAAATATCCACTCAGCTGTACTACCTGTCGTAAACATTGAGATGCATGTACGTGATGATTTATGTGTGACAGCGGCTTTCATGCTTGCTTGTCAAACGCAATCCAAGACAAACGCCACCTGCCCTTGTGATATTATTCAATGAGCCTCACGACTTGGCATAACTCTATAAGTTCTGTAGCACACAGCCCAGTCTTTCAACTGTATTTGAACCGAAATTTCTGAGTTATTGCATTTGCAGTTGCGCAAATTTCTGGCTGGAAGCTTTGAGTGGCAGCTTAGGTGGCGGCACATCGCATTCGAGCACCTAAGCGTCCCTACCATGCAAAATTGTACCACCAAGTTGGTAATAAATGTGGACTCGCGGAGCGTTCTACTTTTCTTGCATAAAATTCCATTCCCCTGATCGTGGAGTGTGCTTTAAGTTGTGATTGGCTCACGATACCAGCGCCTTAACTTCCTCTTCGGGGCTGGAAATTTTCTTCAGTGGCCGCAGGCTTACAATAATTAGTATAGATTCACTGAATTTGAGTGAGATTTATGTAATTTAAACCTCAAATTTCCAAAAAATCTCTTTCCTTTACATAGCTCCAGTATCTACCGTACTTATTGCATATATGTAATTTTTAGCGTTTTTTTTTATTTTTTGAACAATATATGATCGAAGTTGCATGTTTCATAATGTGACTGAGGACCCTGCTTCAAACCAAGTTCTTATTTGCAGTAACAATCTGCGTTCGCTCGCCACATGCTGTACCTGGAGGAGCACAGAGCTGTTGGGGAAGGAGTGCAAGCAGCTCAGCAACTGGCCGAGAAGCACGAGCAGTACACTGAAACAGCTCTGGTTGGTAATTGATCTCTGATGGTTTCTAGAGCTATCATATAGAGTTTTGTGCCTTATGGGTCGGGCTGAATGAGTGTTCCACGTTTTCGAGGAGGGTTCTATGTAGGGGTACCCCCCAGGAGGCCCGTCGCGCGGCAAGAAGGCAGAGTCGCGGACGAGTCGCAGCGCGTGAGCGATGTAGGACGTACAATGGAACATTCTATTTAACTTGACGCGAAATCCCTACAGTACGCGCGGAACTCGTCCGCTGACTCGCCTTCTTGTCGCGCGACGGGCCTCCTGGGGGTACCCCTCTATGTAGAGTTGACGCTTTGTCGAGACTGCTAACACCTTCTCCACTTTCTGCAAGCCTTTGCGGGCAAACGCATATTCGTTACGCGTTATAGTTGCATTGTAGGAGTAGTTTTCCTTGTCTTCATCTGCAATGGTCAGGGAAAGTGGGGGTACTGTAGTCCAGGGAGGAGGAGGGAGGTAACCAGCAAAATCCATTTTCCCTCTTTCGCGCCTTCTCACCGCGATAGCTTCCATGACCACTATAATCTGCTAATTATTCGCACATTCCATAATTTCACCAAAGTTATGTGGTTCCTCATTCTCCCTTTCTACTTTCCGCATCCCCTAATCCACGGGTTTTGCATTTCGCACTGATTGCCGGCGCTATCTCTAAAAGGGCGCGCAAATGACAAGAAAATCGGTGCTGCTTCCTCTTTCGTACACTTCTTTGCTGCAGCAGCATATATCAGTTGTAAAAAACTTGTTTCTTTGATAAAATGGACGATTTCAGGAGGATGTGAAAGCTGCAAAAGCTCTCAAGGAAACTGGAGAAGAGCTGATCTCAGCGAACGACGTAGGAGTATGTCATGCTAGTCCAGAAGCCTTTGTTCTGGATTCTTTGTGAGCTTTTTATTCCATGCCCATTCTCATCCATTGCAGATATCCGGAAGTTTGCTGCCAAAATGTGACGAATTGGAGCGAATGGCTGAAGCGCTCAATGGAGCCCTCCAAAGACGGGCAACTGTGCTACGAATGAGCATCGCCATGCATACACAAATTTCTCAGGTAAGGAAAATCTCTGGAAAAGTGAAGCCAAATTTAAATTTGAGTTGGATACTGTCAAGGCAAGTGCTACCAAAGTCGTCAGCACACATATTAAACTGATCATAAATCATTCATGGTCTCATTTCATCCTAAGAGCACATTTCATGATTGGGTCCTTGAAAACCCCTTCTGGGAATAAGGTTGTCCGCATACTGTCAAGGCTTTCTTTGCTCGGAATAGTAGAAGGAGCGTTAGAGATTTAGAACTTGCAACTATGGCCACATCGAACTAGGGTGAACAACGGTCGAGGAATTCCTCCACCATGGCAATAACGGTCGAGGAATTCCTCGACCATGGCTCTCTACTGTGCGAGAGTAGTGTCGAGAGTGAATGTACGCGCGGAGAGCACAGACGGCTCGCGGGTGGCGAGAGTGAATATCCGCGCGGGAGAGCGTGACTGAACAGGCGAAATCCTCGACGAGCCGTTGCCGTTTCCTCGACCGATTTTCACCCTGTCTCGAACGGCACCACGTCCACCGTTGCAATGTCTGTTGCTTCGCTCCCGCGTTACTCTCTCGGCTCCGCCTGTAGCTCTCGTCTCAGTGCCCAGTGTATCTGGCATGTTCGCTTCCGAGATTTTG